AACCGATTCGTCCCCTTCCGTGCAGCCGCTTGTAGGGCATTGCCATGCTTACCACCCTGGGCATTCACCTCTGCCCCACATTTGAAGAGAAGCTGCAAAACCGATTCGTTCCGCCACGATGCAGCTGCTTGTAGTACATTGCCATAATAGCCGCCCTGAGCATTCACCTCGGCCCCACGCTCGAGGAGAAGCTGCACAACCGATTCGTTACCCCTCCATGCGGCTGCTTGCAGTGCATTACCATAATGGCCACCCTGAGCATTCACCTGAGCCCCGTGCTCGAGGAGAAGCCGGACAATCGATTCGTTACCCCTCCATGCAGCTGCTTGTAGTGCATTACCATAACATCCACCCTGAGCATCCACGTTTACTGCATCCTCTTTTCTATTGACTAGCAAATTACAGGCCACCGCCAAATTTAGCCATGAAGAATAGTAGATTACTGGTGGGTAAACTCCTGAGCCCGGAGAGCTATCCTGGTAATAGTGATCGGGGTTATATATATCTAGCCACCTTTGGCCCTGCTCCAGTACTTTCAGAGAAGCGTCGGAAAGTGGAGAGGGTGCTATATTCTCGATAGCTTCAGTATACCTGAACCAATACTCAGCACTATGACGGAGAAACGGCGTCACTTGGATTTCCTCTCCGCATATAGTAACTTGAGCACCATGTCGCAATATCCGACTATGGCAAGCATGGCTCATCAGTAAATTGGCTTTATCCTCCGAAATATGGTAGTAGGAACTGGGGCCCTGAGCTGCCCTGTCGGAGATCAAATATTCTTTTACCGAAAAATGAGCTAGTCGTAATCGCCGGCTTTCCTGGGTGAAGGGTTTATCGTCCCGGGCATCTTCGAAGGAAATAAGACTTGGGCAAATACTCATGAGGGACCTCGGATCAAAAAGAGTTCCTGGATCCTCGCCGTACTTGTTTACATCGTATTAAATCACGACAGCCTCAGCAAGCTCCGCTAAGGTCAATGGTACAGCCGAAAATGAGAGCCAATGCATCGCGCACTGGATGTATTCCCTCTGCGGCTTGTGAATACTCTCAAGGATCCTTGAGTAGACAGAATCTAAGTCTTTCGGCAGTTCCTTCAAGGCGCCTCTAACAGCTTTCGGCGTCATGCATTCCTGTAGAATTCGTAAAAGGCAATCTACCCATCGGAACCTGAACATGTCCGACCTTGTATTAGCCTAAGTTAAAGATTGAAAAACTAAGTATAACATACATTCCTTGTGAATGCGTAACGAGTGTGTCTTCTATCTCACTCCTAATTTCATTGGTAAATTCCTTGAAGCCATCCTTGCTGTCTAAAGAGTTCTGTATATATACCCGGATATCTGGATCGATAATTTTTGATTGTAGGGATATTGAAAAATTGGTAAGTGGCTCTAGGGATTTCACTATATCTGCCTCGGGACGGCTAGTGACGAGCATAGACAGCGATCCCGCATCATGATCCGTCATAAGCGCGCCAATCCAGGATAGGACACTGCCCCGTGTGTCCTTGGGGAATTCGTCCAAGGCATCTAAAATGATAAAGGTCTTTTTGGAAAGCTTCGTGATGTGCGAAAATACGGTTTGCAGATCTTTTATACTTGATGACGTTCCAATTGCCTTGGAGTTATGATACAATTTCATAATCTCATCGGGTAATACCGGGTCGGAACGCGCTCGGAGTAGTTGGCCAATGAGAGATAGGAGCATATTGGCCAAATTTTGCTTCTGCGAGTCACTGAAAGTAAAGTAAAAATAGGCTAATGCGTGATCATCGCTCATGCTGCATAGGCGTTTGACATCTTCAATGGCGGTAGCGCTAAAGAGCTAGTCAGTAAAAGAAGTTATATTGCACCTCCGGACATGTGGTTAGGTTCGCACCTTAGGACACTCTTGCCGCATCTAGCTATAAGGTGCAAATGTTAATAACATTCTTTGTAGCATAAGATTCCACTCATCCATAGACTTACGTATCCCATGAAGCCAGAGAACCCCCCCACTGCCTTCCTTCCAGTCCATATAATCGCGTCCCTCCAGTAGCCAATTCCCCGTACCGGGTTCACGAACAGCAAGTGCTGATGAGAAATTTGTGGCAGGATCAACGACGTTAAGCCATCTCTGTATTTCCCGAAATTGACTCTCTGCGGTTTTAGAAATGTCAAATATTAGTAAAGAAAATAATTGGCAGGTTTAGGGATAATGTGACCAGGTACCATCTTGTTTTCGCGACATCTTTGTTACTGTCTTCCTAAACAACCGGTTAGCCTCGCCGATTGAAAAGAGAAGAAGAGTAAGTGGAGAAGTTAGATTCTTAGGGCACCGAGGAATAGGCAACTTACATTGTGGCGGTGTTTAACAGCAATTGAAGTTTCAATCTCTGCTTTTCAATCAAACCCAGGTAACGCCCCATTTTGGTCTTATGGAATGGCCAAGCCAGTTTCCTGGACCATTTCCTCCATCCTGCGACATCTAACTTGTCCTTCAGCTCTTCCAGGACAGTTTTATAGTCTTTTAAACTTTCGTTATTTGTCCACTCAACCAGCTCAGGGTATTTCAGGTTGTACCCATCGCCCTGTGCAGCAAGGTTCTGTATTTCCTTCAGCTGTTGGTCAATACTCCTGATTTCGTCTCCTAGTTTCTTGAAATCTTGTTGGCTCTCCTTGACTCCATCGCAGTAGTCATCGCAAAGCTGGTAAACCTTTACGCCGAGGTGAATGAGGGTCAAACTGCTAGCAGCTAGGGAGAAGTGCTCTGCCATTTCTTTTCTGACGAATATTGTGGGCTTAAGAGAGGGAGTGTAAAGGTGTGGCGATGATAGATCGCTATCTTCCAGTCCCGGTAGTGAAGGATAAATAACAACCGGTGCTCAGTTTCGAGGTGGATGGTCTTTGCAGCTTCAGAAACTTATGGGTTATGTTTTTCGACGGCGGATTCAAAGATGATGTGGGGCAGCAACTTCTCGTAGAGGGTATCTCTTTAGAGCAATGTTTTTTTCAGATCTTCGAGTGCGGGTCTCCCATCTGCCAGCGCTCACACATTCGAACGGCAGCTGCAAGCCTAGTCCTAGTGGGAACTACTGCAGCCGAACTATTGGACTTGTCTTCACGTCCAGGTTTTGGTGCAAGTAATGGATCATATTTCCTTCGCTGGATGGATTGAAAATCAGGCGCAAGTAACTTACTCGCTGCAAGTCTCACTCTGCAGCGGAACAGATAACAATTTGGTGTTCATACCGGTATCACACTAAAAAGAAAAGTTACGGCGGCGCACGCTTGAAATAATGCTGGCTAATCCATGTGTATGGTATCATAGCAGAAAACCACCCAATCTGACCCGTGCAAATATCTCTAAGGTGGGTGCTGCTTTCTCATATTTGTGGACATCCTAAGTATCATAGTGGATCCTCTTGCAGCAACTACCTGTATTCGAGTACCTCTAGTCCTCCCAGCGACTGTTGTCTAACTCCCCCTTGGGAATCCTCCTTCTAAAAAGGAAGTTGCTTCAACAAAATTTCTCTCACGATCACACAAGCTGCAGTCGCATCTCTGGCGGGTGGGGGGGGGTTAGCACTTTCCTGAATGAGTGGTCTTTCCCCGTGCCAAGTTTCCACTCAGATGGTCAGTATTCGGTGGGCGGAATTGTCATACTACAGTACACCCGATTACGTAACGTGCGGACCGACTGGAAATCCAAACAACCCCCACAAGTTGGTCGGAAGCTTGTTGCCATTTATGGTGGCCCATGTTGGAGATGTGATATGGTGGGCGAATTGAGTCCTGCAACGTACCAGTATTGTACGTACTCGAATACTCGCACTGCGTAGAATCCGGTGGGAGGGTATGTTACCCGCATCCGCAGACGGGCTATCCTTTTTAAGGTAATGTACTGGGCTACGAGATCCTCGGATACTAGTGAAACATTGGAAAGGATTTCCTCACCTTTGGCCCTTTACAAAATGGGGAGGGGAGTTCGGGGAATAATCCGCAGAGGGGGGGGGTAGATCTAATGAACCGTGAGATTTTTTCTTTTTCCTTTTGTTTTTCCTTTTTACCGTAGGGTGGGTTTATGTATGTTTTTCTGGCTCTGGCGGGAAAGTGGCGCCTGGGTTCGTTGCAATATGAAGGCGGCCGGGCGTTCCTCTACGAGTATAGCCAGTCTCGGCCAAGGATGGCTCGGAGCCGCCGCCAAAGGTAGGGTGGGTTCGCTTGCTGATACATTTTGTTCAAATGTGTAGGGTACGGCACTATCTTAATAACTTTGTACGAAAATACGACGTAGTAGAAAGAGTATACC